AAAAATTAAAAATAAAAATAATTTATTAATTTCAAAAAAGCAAAAGCTGAGGTAATGAGAATAAACAGGAAAAAATAATAACATGATCATTCATTTAAAAAGAAAAAGTTAAGGTTCCTTTTCCACGCCTTTAGGCAAATGGGGCATACAGGGCTAGACCAATCAGCAAAAGATGGGTGATGTGGACAGCATAACGCCAGCCGCCTTTACTTCCCAGGACAGCATCCAGAACCCACTCAAGGCTGGCTCGACTTGGGAGTCAAGGTCATTTTTGAAAAAAGTATGGCCTCACCAGGGAGCAAACCCACAACCTTCCGATCCATACGCAAGTGTCTAGCGGCTACGCCATGACGACTCCCGATCGTTCATTTTAATGGTACTAAAATCAAACAAGTATGAATTTAAATATCTAGGAAGCCTATTTACAGAGGATGACAGACTCGACAGAGAGACAAAAGCCAGAGTACAGAAGGCAAACACTGTCACCTACCAGCAAGATCTAATGCTTAGACACCGATTATGTCCTTTTATGTCACACAAGGGGACTGCGTGGTCTCGAGGCATGGTGTCCGCCTCGAGTGCTAGAGGTCCTGGGTTCATTCCCCGGCAAGAAATGGGATTTTTCACGTGGACTTGCACGTCTAGTAATTCCCCCTAGTCTCTGGGTAGTGAGATCAGACGCCCGTAGGCATTGTCAAAAATCTACCCAAAGTATTTCAGGATCCTCGCCGGTGCTACAAAGTTGAGTTAGAAGAAAAATGGAGCCCTTATGGGTTACTACCATGATACTGATTCGTTGTTCAAAACCTCAAATCTTATCTTATCACAATAGTCATCACTGTACACTGGGTATATTCCCATGCGTGCTCAGTCCTCCAATACAGCAGCCATTCTAAGGTACTAATTGTTCCCATATGAGGTTGGTTTTAATGTCTCCTATCCCGGCCTCGAAGGTGGCATTGACGGCTACACCATGCTTAACTCCCATGTTACCAGTCTGTAAAGTTAACACATCAAAGACTTCTTATTTGTGTAAAAAGATGGTCTGGTCAAATCAAATTTTAATTTCCTGCAGTGCTTCATATATTAGAAACAATTCAAGATGAGGAAAGAGGCTCCAGGGAGGACATAAAAAGCACTATAAGGCACTCTCAAAACTGCTCTCAGTTCTTTTGGCAACAACACAGCCACATAAGAGGCATGGTGCATCAGCCTGCCAGGCAGCGGAGGTGGCACAGACAGAGAAATGGAGGCAGACTAGAAAGAACCTTAAGCATTAATCAAATACATAATGCAGCTTCCACCTGTTGTTCGCACTTCTCAAGAACTTGTCAGGCTCATATTGGACTAATCAGCCACCTTTTTATACTCATAATCATTGATCATTACCACTTTGGATAAAAGTGGTCTTCATCACGTGTGATGAACGAACAACATATAAGAAGCAATATTCCAGCCTTCATCATCAATCAACAAGTCCTTTACAATACATCGTTCTCTTCACTGCATGCCTGAAAGTATTCCTTTTCCTAGCCACCTCTCCAGCCTCATATGCTTTCATTTACACAAAAGTAATTTAACACACACAAAAAACACACACCAAAAAAACACAATTAATACATAAAGTACGCTGGTCCATGCCTTGGGCATATAGGGCTAGACTTATGTTTTATAGACCAATTGGCATTTGGTGGGTGATGTGGTCAACATTACACCGGCTGCCTTTACTTCCCAGGACCGCACAAGGTTGGGTCCACCTATGAAAAAATCCAGCTCAGTCAGGACCCAAACCCACCACCTTCCAATCCGCAAGCGAGCATCTAGCCCCTACAACATGGTGGGCATAATTAATACATAAGGTATGCAATACTGAATAACCAAATACGATTGACAGACATAAATATCCATTCATCATCATGAAGCAGGTCCTTTGCAGAACGTCGCTCTTATCACAGTCTGTCTGTAAGAAACTCTATCTCTTGCCAGTTCTCCTGCCTCATAAACTTTCACACTCAAGGAGTCAGCCCCTGCTCTCCTTCCTGGTACCATGCCTTCTGCTATAATTTGTTCCAAGGATGCTGTTTATTAGCCAATCATCCTTGATGTTCAGATCTTTTAAGATGTCAAAATTTCTCATCTTCTTTGTCCAAGATATTCTGAGAATCTTTCTGTAGCATTTCAGCTCAAAAGCAAATATCCATTTGTGAAATAAAAAAAAAGAGTTTGATATATCCGAATTATAACCAGGACAGCAGGATAATTGCTATAATATATAAACTACTTCTAGTACTACAACAAATACACACAAACATATACACACACACTTATATATGATATATATATATTATATATATATATATAGATAGATAGATAGAGAGAGATAGATAGATAGATAGAGAGAGAGAGAGAGAGAGAGAGAGAGAGAGAGATATATATTCATATTCTTTCTATAACATACTGCTGTACTACAAGGATACTGTATCGAAATATTATTACAAGTTACGCTTTTTTCATCTTTTTACAGACAACACTGAATTACCTCAATTTTCTTGATATAATTGAAAGGTACAAATCCAATTTCCCCCAGCCCATTCTGCGCGAGAAACCACTGATCCGACTTAGAAGTGTCCACCAACGTAAACCTATCCCCGGCTTCAAACGATAAATACTTGGGCAGTTTACTGTTATGAGCATACAAAGCACGATACATGATGACTAGACGGCAGATAGAAGCATGTAAATGTATTATTATAATAAGGGAATCTTATGTTAAATCAACGGTTCCATCTTCGGCGTGTTGTCTGTGTCTGGCTTCATGCAGACGACGAGCGAGGGGAGGCCACAGTGAATGAATAATTATCTTCGGTTTCCCAATTCACTTCTTTATCTTTATCGATCGTACAATAGTTATTTTATTATTAACAATATCCACAAATCGCATCGGTTGTGATATATAAACTTATAGAAATGTGTTGTGGGATATTTAATATCAACAATCTTAAGTTTAAAATTAACATATTAACCTTTATATGCTTAACTCTTTCAGGGTCAAGCATGCCTCGCTGTGGAGGATACGGGTGAATATGTTCTGGATTTTTTTTATTCACCGGGGTGCCGGTGTGTTCTGAAATAAACAGGCGGACATACTAGATGGCTCTGCACAACTTGGTGGAATACTGTTGCATGATAAGGCAGATGGGGTTAGTGCCTTGTTGGAGAGCATGTACAGTTCGGAGGATCAGATGGATCACCACAGTGTGGTGAGATTAATGCAGGGGGGAGAGACGAGGGGTTCTGGCAGATGCTCGAGGGTCAGAGGAAAGGCAAGACGGACGTTTAATCAGAATGCTACTGGCACCATTAGTATCGGAACTCTTCTGGCTGCTGAAGATAGGGATGGGGCGCTTATGGGAATGCCCCAAGTGCTGTGATGTCGGTTCTTGAATCAAATCCATAAATCAATCAATCAGGGTCAAGAGACTTGTTCGCTGCTTGAAAAACGGGCGGATTTTTATGAACGAATGAATGAATTAATTCAGAATTGACAGCGCTGATTCGTAACATTCCCATAATTGTTCCGTCCACTTCTTCAGCAGCCAACGAAGATTCGATATGTTAAATAGTACCAGTTGCAACCTTGTTAAAAGTCTGCCTATGTGTTGAATATCTTCCCAAAAACCTCTACTTCTACTTATCCCCTGTCAAAACGTGGACTTTTAATAGCAACTGGCATCGGCAATATTAGAACTCTTAGTTATCTACTGAGAATGGGGATGGAGCAGGTGTGGGGAATATCCAGAGTAAAGTGATGTTAGTTCTTATCTCATTCATTCATTATTGCATACGCTTTTTTTTTAATTTATAGACTATATAATATTTCTTGGTTGCTACATACATCTAGTTTTAATATATGGCTGTGAGTCCTGGACAATCGGTAGGCAGGCCTACCAATTTCTCGAGGCCTCAGAAATGTGGTTTTACAGAAGAATGCTTAGAATTCCATGAACAGCCAAAAAAGAGAAACCAAGAGGTTCTGAAAGAGGCAGGAGCCCAAAGACAACTTATCAGAGACATCAGAAGGAGACAGTCATTATTTTTCGGCCATGTTATGAGAAGAGGGGAAATAGAACATGTTGTGACCACTGGAAAGGTATGTGGAAGGAGGAATAGAGGAAGAAAACTAGAGAAGATTCTTGACAGTCTTGTTGCATGGCATGGAGGTGTGTCGGCACATAAACTGATACATGCTGCAGGAAATCGCAGATTGTGGAGATGCATGATCGCCAACGACAGTCGGCAAGGCACCTGATGATGATGATAATATTTTACATGGTAAATATTTTGACTCTTTCTTTTACATTATCTGTTATATTAACTTATTTTAACTCAAATTTTACATTATCCTGCTGTTTAATAGCTTCATCATCATCATGTAGCAGGTCCTTTGCAGAACATCGCTCTCATCACGGTCTGCCTGAAAGAAACTCGGTCTCTCGCCAGCTCTCCCGCCTCATGTACTTTCATACTCAAGGAGTCACTCATATCCTGTGCCCGTCTACGTGTCGGTAAATATATTTCTCGAAAGTATAAACACTGATGATTTTACAGTAACAACAGTTTGGGAATGAAAGAGTTGAGACAGACGCAAAGGTGAGGTGGGGAGGTATGTTTAAATTTACACGCACAAGCAAGACAATTTACAAGAAAAATACAAATAACCATTAAATAAACAACGAACGGAATTCAGAATTGCTTAGGTAGTAAAATTAATGTACATAGCTGATTATTTGAAGTTAATATAGATGAATGTAAATGGTGTACAATTCAAACAATGAAACCTTTTCCTAGAATGAAACATTTCCACGTAGATGACGAACGGTTTAACGGAAGATAACGGTTTCTCATGAAATCTCACGAAATATCATGCAATAACAGGACATATATATATATGTATATATTAAAGCTGAAGTGTAACTGGTAAACAACCATTTGCAAACACAATGGTGCTTGATCTTGATTTATTCAGAGCCGACAAAGGAGGCGACCCGGCTAAAATCCGGGAGAATCAGGCCAAGCGGTTTAAAGATGTGACACTGGTCGACAAGGTGGTAGAACATGATACAGAATGGAGAAGATGTAAGAACTTCTAACTATAATCGTTCAGTTTTAGTAGTCTTTTCTCTTGCTGCTGCTGCTGTTGCTGCTGTTACTGCTGCTACTACTACTGCTGCTGCTAATACTGCTGCTGCTGCTGCTGCTACTACTACTACTACTACTACTACTACTACTACTACTACTACTACTACTACTACTACTACTACTACTACTACTACTACTACTACTACTGACTTCTTCTGTGTTTGTTTTCTTCTTCATCTTTCTCCTCTCCTTTCCTGCATTTTCATTCTCCATCTTTTTTTTTCATTTCTTCTTTCTCACCTTCTTCATGCATTCTCTCCCTTCTCTTATTTTTGTTTGTAAACCATCACCCCCCCCCCCCCCCTTTTCTCATTCCTCTTCTTCGTTGTCATTGTGATCTTTCTTTCTTTCTTTCTTTTTTTCTTTCTTTCTTTCTTTTTCTTTCTTTCTTTCTTTCTTTCTTTCTTTCTTTCTTTCTTTCTTTCTTTCTTTCTTTCTTTCTTTCTTTCTTTCTTCAGACCAAAATGGAGGAAAGGCTTGGCAGAATGTTTAGCTTTGAAGTTATTTTTGCTTATGACAGTGTTTTTTTTAAAATAAAGTTTCCACATACGTTTCTGGTGCCTGATCTACTGAGTTTAATGTGTGGTGCAGCCCTGCCTGAGGTCTTCATGCTCCCCTGAGGCCTTCATGCTTCCCTGAGGTCTTCATGCTTCCATGAGGTCTTCATGCTCCCCTGAGGTCTTCATGCTCCCATGAGGTCTTCATGCTCCCCAATGTCTTCATGCTTCCCTGAGGTCTTCATGCTTCCATGAGGTCTTCATGCTCCCCTGAGGTCTTCATGCTTCCATGAGGTCTTCATGCTTCCATGAGGTCTTCATGCTCCCCTGAGGTCTTCATGCTCCCCTGAGGTCTTCGTGCTCCCCTGCCCTGAGGTCTTCATGCTTCCCTGCCCTGAGGTCTTCATGCTCCCCTGAGGTCTTCATGCTCCCCTGCCCTGAGGTCTTCAGGCTTCCCTCAGGTCTTTGTGCTGCACTGAGGTCTTCATGCTCCCCTGAGGACTTCGTGCTCCCCTGCCCTGAGGTCTTCATGCTTCCCTGAGGTCTGCATGCTTCCCTGCCCTGAGGTCTTCATGTTCCCCTGCCCTGAGGTCTTCATGCTCTCCTGAGGTCTTCATGTTCCCCTGCCCTGAGATCTTCATGCTCCCCTGAGGTCTTCATGCTCCCCTGAGGTCTTCATGTTCCCCTGAGGTCTTCGTGTTTCCCTAAGGTCTTCATGCTCCCCTACTCTGAGGTCTTCATGCTCCCCTGCCCTGAGGTCTTCATGCTTCCCTGCCCTGAGGTCTTCATGCTTCCCTGCCCTGAGGTCTTCATGCTTCCCTGCCCTGAGGTCTTCATGCTTCCCTGCCCTAAGGTCTTCATGTTTCCCTGAGGTCTTCATGCTCCACTGACGTCTTCATGTTCCCCTGAGGTCTTCATGCTCCCCTGCCCTCTTCATGCTCCCCTGAGGTTTTCATGCTCCCCTGAGGTCTTCATGCTCCCCTGAGGTCTTCATGCTTCCCTGCCCTGAGGTCTTCATGCTTTTCTGCCCTGAGGTCTGCTTTCTCCCATGAGGTCTTCATGCTTCCCTCCCTGAGGTCTTCATGCTTCCGTGAGGTCTTCATGCTCCCATGAGGTCTTCATGCTCCCCTGCCCTTTTCATGCTTCCCTGAGGTCTTCATGCTCCCCTGAGGTCTTCATGCTCTTCTGCCCTGAGGTCTTCATGCTTTCCTGCCCTGATGTCTGCTTGCTCCCATGAGGTCTTCATGCTTGCCAGAAAGAAAAAAAATGATTGTAATGCTACTTTTGTAAGCCAAGTGTTGTCAGGCAAGGAACCTAGTCTTAGTTAGTTAGTTAGTTAGTTAGCTGGGTTATCCTCATTGCACTCCGGACATGTCCATAGGTGCTCAGATCCTCCCCTCAATATGAACCCCAACGTCCAATGGCTAATAGTACCAGTTCTATGTTGATTAACAAGTCTTCTGGCGTAGCTGGTGTGCGTCTCGTTTTTTGCTGTGCCGATCTTAATTCCCAAGTCTGCCATTCTGGCGAGTGATGTGGATTCACTGCCACCAAAGTCCTCTATCCTTCCTATTTCTCTGAGGGCATTGATAATATCAGCATGATCCATAGGCTGACCGTCGGTAGTAATAGCGGATCCAGCCAACCTGTCAGCTCTTTCATTTCCATCGACGCCTGCGTGTAAGGAACCTAGTCTGCATACAGATAAGCCTCTTGTTGGATAAGAAGGTCATGGGTTTCGATTCATGGCTGCAGTATTTATTGAAATTCCTGGGGATCATCGCCAGAGCTGCGGAATTCATGCACTGTGCGATGCTCTCGGTTGGCGGCTGACTGTTTTGCGGAGAGAGACCGAGCCATATGGGATAACACATGGTACAGTGATTAAACATTTTGGTTGAAAAGTATGTGCATTTGTTCTATTGTTACATTTCAGTGCGTTTCAAAGCTGATTTGCTCAACAAGCTGAAGAAGTTTTGCAGCAAAGAGATTAGTGAGAAAATAAAAGTATGTAAACATTCTGTCTGTCCTATCATGTCTGTCTGTCCCTTTCTATCTTTTTATGTCCATCCATCCATCTGTCTGTTTGTCTGTCTGTCTGTCTGCCTGCCTATCTTGTCTTTCACTATCCCTTTTTCTGCTGCTCTCTCCCGCTCTGTCTCTCTCTCTCTCTCTCTCTCTCTCTCTCTCTCTCTCTCTCTCTCTCTCTCTCTCTCTCTCTCTCTCTCTCTCTCTCTCTCTTTCCGTCTTTCTTGTCTTTTTGTTTCTCCTTTTCTTGCACTCTTTTTCACTTTTTTCTTTTTTTTTTCTTACTCAGCCTTATTCTCCATCCTTCCTCTCTTTCTTTTTCTCTGACATTTTTGTCTTGTCTCATTCCAACCTCTGTCTTTCTCTCTGCCTGTCTGTCTATTTCTCCTATGCTTGAGGAAAGAAAAATTAAAAACACAAAATTATTTTCCTTTGTGACTGCATGTCAGTCCTCCAGGAGACTCAGAGTGATCCACGAGACAACATGGAGAGAGAACTGACCCGCCAGCTAAACAGATTCTAAGAAAACAATCAGATTGTTCTTCAGTGGATCCCGGCTCACTGCAGCATACCAGGAAATGAGTTAGCAGACAGACTTGCTAAAAATGGAACAAGGAAGAAAAAATACACCCATCCATTGTCGTTACCAGAAATCAGAACACTTATCAAGGGAAAATACGAGGAATTGGGGAGAGAACAAACGAACAGTACACATCCACAAGACCTCATCAGCAAACGCAACAGAAAGCAACATACAACAATTTTCCGGCTATAAACAGGACACTGCAGGCTCAACTACCACATGCATAAAATAAAGATTGCAGTCCCCACAGTGTGCCTGTCAAACAGAACCACAAACACCTGACCATATTCTGCAGACCTGCCTACTCTACCTGCAATTTTGAAAATACACCTGGCCTCAAGAGCAGAGTGTGCAGTGAAAGCTATGAGGAACAATGAAGGACCTCCTACTGACATGCGAGTTCATAGAGGCAATCCACCTGATGGTCTGATCTGAGTATATGAAACCAATTGCAAAAAAGAAAAAGAAGATGAAGAATTTCTCCTATGTATGTGTTCAATGTGTGAGAGATTGTGCTCATGTGTGTGTTGTATGTGTGAGAGATTGTACTCATGTGTGTGTTGTATGTGTTAGAGATTGTGCTCATGTGTGAGAATGGTATGGGAAGCAGGTTTACAAAAGTTAGTCGAGGTTCCATTATCACTGGAGACTGATCACGCCAAACTGTTTCATTCTTGTGCTAGTGAAAATCACACACGGTGTCCTTAACTGTATAAGGCGACAACCAGATGTGCCAACACTTTCAGACCTACACCAGAATTACAGGTTTACATAAGCTGTATTGATTATTTTTGAATAAGATTTATGTAGTGGTACATATTTTGTTGTCCTAACTACAGAAAAATTTTATTTCCTGAAACCTGTTTTGTCTTCAGAGAAAAGAACCGGCGGGTAGTGATGAAAGTCTGCCATCAGAGATCATAAACAACATAGAAGAGCTAACACAGGAGAAGCTATCTGTATGTTAAATCTATATGGTTATTTAAAATAGTGTTCATTATTGTTTCTAGCTTTTACAGTTTCTAATGTTACACAGTACAAAGTAAACCATAATTGTTTAGACACAGCATAGGGCACTGTAGGCAGTAGGCCTCATTCTGCAAATTTACGGCCACTCGGACTGACCAGTGGTCATGCCAGAATAACTCATAGACTCCAAGAACATATATTGTTTTATTTTTCTTAAAAGGGCAGTTGGCCTGTTTTTTTTTTTGTAGTTTAGATAGGCTGTGATCTGTGCAAGTTTTGGCTCAACATTCGATTACAGTAAATTCAGAGTTATTTACTCTTGCCTCATCATTTCCCTGTGCAGGTCCAGGGGCCATATTCTTAGGGGTTGGGGGGGGGGGGGAGGGGAGGGGGTGTGTAGACCAATGCCTGCCAAGCATGTCATGCAAATTGACTAATTATGGTACTTCCATTTGGAGTTGGAGTGCATCGGCCTGAAAGACAAGGAACCAAAAGTCTGCATGCAAACAATCCAGGTCTGTAAAATGGATGTGCACACTAAACTCAGGCTGTGGAACAAAACTCAGATCCAGAAATGAGCAAACAAACAGAACTTTCTGCTAGAGTTTACAGCCAGTGAGCACTAAGAAGAAGAAGTCTTTGTCATTTATGTGAGAGGGTCTAATCTTTTTAAAATGAGGTCCTGGAACTGCAAGGGTTTTGGTTTGCACAAAGAGAGAGTGGAAGACAGTGAGAGAATACTTGAGTCATTTTGCGTGGCATTATTGCCCATTCCAGTCAGCATGGCACTTGTTGATGTGTCTTTTTCTGGCTGGTTCCTGCACCATTTGATGGTAAATTGAATAGAACAAACAAACAGACTTGACTGACTGACTGACTGATCCCACCAGGAAATCACACCAAGCGATAAACACCCGGTGACACAAAGTGCAACCATTCTGAGGTTCACCTGGGGACAGGTCCCAGAAACCATGTTCAACTTATTGGTTGTGTTTTATTAGGGACCCCGGCAACAGCCAGAATGGGGCTTTGAAACAACAAAAAGTGTGTCCAACATTGGAATGCGGTATTGGTTGTAAACTAACAAACTTTATTTTCAGAGTGTTAAGAATTGGGCACACAGGCCAGTCTAACATTCTACCCTTCAAGTCTCCTTCTTTTCAGACATTTCATTCATACATCAAGTAATAGTAAAGATTATCAACAGCATCAAAATATTCAATGCAAGCACTGGAATGTGTACAGTAAACCATATTACTACTATGGCAATAGAAAGTGAAAGATGGATTGTCGCATTTTGAAAGAAACCAAACACATTGAGCTGTAGAGAGGAGATGCCATAGAGAAAATTGGTTTCATAATGAGGGAGCATCTACTTTTGCGTGTGTATCCTATATGACAGAGACTGCCACTTCTGCATCGGACTGTACAGTCACAGCAGATGCTGTTCCCCAAAACCAAAGGCACTTCTGCATAGTCCCAAGGGACTGACGGATGCCATTATCATTATACCGTTATTAAACCATAGTATTTGTAATAAATCTAGGGAAGTAGGAGCTTTTTCTGATGTGGTCAAAGCCCTTTGGCAGTAAGGGAACCCTGCTGAAACATCATGGTCTGAGGAGAATGGCATAGTTGGGAGTGACTAGGGGATCTTGCAGACACTGAGCACTTTGAGAAAAGGCAAGGGGAACGTAACATCACACTTCTACTGGTACCATCAGAATTTGAACTCTGTGATGGCTACTGAAGATGGGGATGGAATGCTTATGGAAATGTCCTGAGTGCTTTGATGTCAGTTATTAATTCAACTCAACTCTCATTCAGCCAGTTTATAGGTAATAAACAACCTATCTTTGTGAATAAATCTTATGTTTATCTGACGTGGCCACAGTGTTTTTGCGGCTAGACGCTTGCCTGTAGATCTGAAGCCATGGGTTCGAATCCAAATGGATCCTAACTTTTTTAAAAAATAACCTCGACTCCCAGGTCGACCCAGCCTTTAATGGGTACCGGGTAAAAGTGCTAGGAAATAAAATGGCCAATTGGTCCATGAAATATAGGTCTAGCCCTGTATGCCCAATACACTTTAAATATGCTTGAATGCGTGGAAAAGGGTCCTTTTGTCCGATGTGGTTTGAAGTGGTTTTAGTATGTCTGCAGGGATTGACCGTGACTCAAATCAAGAAGGTCAGCCAGGAAATTGATGAGCTTGTGGCAAGTAATAACGTGAAGTTGCTGGAACATGAGAAGGAGAGAAATGAGGCCCTGAAGGAGATAGGGAACTTACTGCATGACTCCTGCATTGTTAGCAACAATGAGGTAATAGATATGTGATGTTTCTTAGATTGACATAGCAGTTTCATGCACAGCTTATAAGAGAGTCTTCAGTCATCAGCTGTTTGTATTTTTTCCTTCTTACTCTTCCTCTATTCCTTTGGGTGTAAGTGAGTTTTTCTTTTTCTTTTCTTCTTAGTGATCACCGTCTGTAAACTACGACAGAAAGTTCTGGTTCTTTATCCACTTCTAGACTTAAGTTTTGTTCCAGAACTTGAGTTTTGCATCACATCCATTTTACAGTTGTGGCTTATTTGTTTGCTTATATATATATGATCTATCTGTATTCGCTTCATGTCAATGTTGACATATAAGGCATTCACAAGTGATCTCCCTTGCTACCGGTCAGTTGCTTGTCTGTCCATGGTATCACATGCCACTTTAAATTTCCAGTTCTGGTGTCCTTCTCCAGATTTCATCAGTTCACAGTCTCTGTTTTCTGTCTTCTATCAGCTGAAGAACTGTCCTTGCCAGTGTGTCACAGGGCATTCTGCAAAAATGACCAAACCATCTCTGCCTTCTTCCTAGCATATGGTGTTAGCCAGATGTTTTTATAAACCAGAGATTTTTAATCATGGGGATGTGCTCCAATTGGGGTTGCAAGGAACTTTCTTTGGGACATCAAGCAGTCTTCCTTTTCCTTTTTCTGTGGATTACTGAGAAACCTTTCATTTTTCTTTTTCATTTTTCTGTGGATTATTAAGAACCTTTCATTCATATTTTTCCTTTTTCTGTGGATTACTGAGAAACATTTCATTCTTCTTTTTCTGTGGATTATTGAGAAACCTTTCATTCTTCTTTTTTCCTTTTTCTGTGGATTACTGAGAAACATTTCATTCTTCTTTTTCCTTTTTCTGTGGATTACTGAGAAACCTTTCATTCTTCTTTTTTCTTTTTCTGTGGATTACTGAGAAACCATTCATTCTTCTTTTTCCTTTTTCTGAGCATTATTGAGAAACCTTTCATTCTTCTTTTTCCTTTTTCTGTGGATTACTGAGAAGCCTTTCATTCTTCTTTTTCCTTTTTCTGTGGATTACTGAGAAGCCTTTCATTCTTCTTTTTCCTTTTTCTGTGGATTACTGAGAAACCTTTCATTCTTCTTTTTCCTTTTTCTGTGGATTATTGAGAAACCTTTCATTCTTTTTTTTTTCCTTTTCCTGTGGATTACTGAGGAACCTAATCATTCTTGTTTCTTTTTCTTTTTCTGTGGATTATTGAGGAACCTAATCATTCTTGTTTCTTTTTCTTTTTCTGTGGAATGTTGAGAACCTATCCATTCTTGTTTATTTTTCTGTGGATTGTTGGAAAAAAAAAACCTGTCATTATCTGTATTTTTTTTTCTATGGTTTATTGACAAATCTTTCATTTTTCTTTATCCTTCTGGTTTTTTTTTTCTTTTTAATGTGGATTATTGAGAAACCTTTCATTCTTGTTTCTTTTTCTGTGGATTGTTGACATATCTTCTTCCTCTTTATACTTCTTTTTCTGTGGATTGTTGACATATCTTCTTCCTCTTTATACTTCTTTTTCTGTGGATTGTTGACATATCTTCTTCCTCTTTATACTTCTTTTTCTGTGGATTGTTGACATATCTTCTTCCTCTTTATACTTCTTTTTCTGTAGATTATTGAGAAATATTTCATTCTTTTTTTAAACCATTTTCTGTTGATTATTGTTATATCTTATGTTCACATTTTTCTTGATCGTGGTTTGAAATTCAACCTGTCACTGTTAGAGATAGGTGACCACAATTTATGCAAAAAAATTCGCAACTAATATTTATAACTTTAGTGATTTCTAATTATAGCCACGTTACGTGTGATCGATTTACCGTGCATGCGCAGTAGTGACGCTCTATCATCAACATCCGATACTGTTGTACTATATATATATATATATGATCTATCTGTATTCGCTTCATGTCAATGTTGACATATAAGGCATTCACAAGTGATCTCCCTTGCTACCGGTCAGTTGCTTGTCTGTCCATGGTATCACATGCCACTTTATATTTCCAGTTCTGGTGTCCTTCTCCAGATTTCATCAGTTCACAGTCTCTGTTTTCTGTCTTCTATCAGCTGAAGAACTGTCCTTCCCAGTGTGTCACAGGGCATTCTGCAAAAATGACCAAACCATCTCTGCCTTCTTCCTAGCATATGGTGTTAGCCAGATGTTTTTATAAACCAGAGATTTTTAACCATGGGGATGTGCTCCAATTGGGGTTGCAAGGAACTTTCTTTGGGACATCAAGCAGTCTTCTTTTTCCTTTTTCTGTGGATTACTGAGAAACCTTTCATTCTTATTTTTCATTTTTCTGTGGATTATTGAGAACCTTTCATTCATATTTTTTTTTTCTGTGGATTACTGAGAAACATTTCATTCTTCTTTTTCATTTTTCTGTGGATTATTGAGAACCTTTCATTCATATTTTTCCTTTTTCTGTGGATTACTGAGAAACATTTCATTCTTCTTTTTCTGTGGATTATTGAGAAACCTTTCATTCTTCTTTTTTCCTTTTTCTGTGGATTACTGAGAAACATTTCATTCTTCTTTTTCCTTTTTCTGTGGATTACTGAGAAACCTTTCATTTTTCTTTTTCATTTTTCTGTGGATTATTAAGAACCTTTCATTCATATTTTTCCTTTTTCTGTGGATTACTGAGAAACATTTCATTCTTCTTTTTCTGTGGATTATTGAGAAACCTTTCATTCTTCTTTTTTCCTTTTTCTGTGGATTACTGAGAAACATTTCATTCTTCTTTTTCCTTTTTCTGTGGATTACTGAGAAACCTTTCATTCTTCTTTTTTCTTTTTCTGTGGATTACTGAGAAACCATTCATTCTTCTTTTTCCTTTTTCTGTGGATTATTGAGAAACCTTTCATTCTTCTTTTTTTCCTTTTTCTGAGAATTATTGAGAAACCTTTCATTCTTCTTTTTCCTTTTTCTGTGGATTACTGAGAAGCCTTTCATTCTTCTTTTTCCTTTTTCTGTGGATTACTGAGAAGCCTTTCATTCTTCTTTTTCCTTTTTCTGTGGATTACTGAGAAACCTTTCATTCTTTTTTTTTTCCTTTTCCTGTGGATTATTGAGGAACCTAATCATTCTTGTTTCTTTTTCTTTTTCTGTGGATTATTGAGGAACCTAATCATTCTTGTTTCTTTTTCTTTTTCTGTGGAATGTTGAGAACCTATCCATTCTTGTTTATTTTTCTGTGGATTGTTGGAAAAAAAAAAACCTGTCATTATCTGTTTTTTTTTTTCTATGGTTTATTGACAAATCTTTCATTTTTCTTTATCCTTCTGGTTTTTTTTTTCTTTTTAATGTGGATTATTGAGAAACCTTTCATTCTTGTTTCTTTTTCTGTGGATTGTTGACATATCTTCTTCCTCTTTATACTTCTTTTTCTGTGGATTGTTGACATATCTTCTTCCTCTTTATACTTCTTTTTCTGTGGATTGTTGACATATCTTCTTCCTCTTTATACTTCTTTTTCTGTGGATTATTGTTAAATCTTATGTTCACATTTTTCTTGTGAGGCTTTTATTTTGTTTTTTTGTAGTATGCATGTGAAACATGGTCAATAATTAGATGCAGAAAACGCCATGGACAGACAAATAATTCTCAAATAGTCCTTCAAGAAGCAGATTAAAACCGTAAAGAAAAAGATAATGAAAATTTGTTGACAGTCAAGACGTTTTGAGTCATTTTATGAAGAGAAATTAGCTGGAAAACTTAGTTACAGCAGTCATACTTAACAACAAGAAATCTTCTTTTTCACAATCGCTGGCTGTAAACTCCGGTGGACAGTTCTGGTTGTTTAGACTTTAGTCTTGTTATAGAATCTGAACATCCATTCAACAGATCTGACCTTCTTGTGTGCAGATTGTTGGCTCATTGTGTGCAGATTGTTGGCTCATTGTGTGCAGATTGTTGGCTCATTGTGTGCAAATTGTTGGCTCATTGTGCCCAGATTGTCGGCTCATTGTGTGCAGATTGTTGGCTCATTGTGTGCAAATTGTTGGCTCATTGTGTGCAGATTGTTGGCTCATTGTGTGCAGATTGTTGGCTCATTGTGTGCAAATTGTTGGCTCATTGTGTGCAGATTGTTGGCTCATTGTGTGCAGATTGTTGCTCATTGTGTGCAGATTGTTGGCTCATTGTGTGCAGATTGTTGGCTCATTGTGTGCAGATTGTTGGCTCATTGTGTGCAGATTGTTGGCTCATTGTGTGCAGATTGTTGGCTCATTGTGTGCAGATTGTTGGCTCATTGTGTGCAGATTGTTGGCTCATTGTGTGCAGATTGTTGGCTCATTGTGAGCAGATTGTTGGCTCATTGTGTGCAGATTGTTGGCTCATTGTGTACAGATTGTTGGCTCATTGTGTGCAGATTGTTGGCTCATTGTGTGCAGATTGTTGGCTCATTGTGTGCAGATTGTTGGCTCATTGTGTGCAGATTGTTGGCTCATTGTGTGCAGATTGTTGGCTCATTGTGTGCAGATTGTTGGCTCATTGTGTGCAGATTGTTGGCTCATTGTGTACATATTGTTGGCTCATTGTGTGCAGATTGTTGGCTCATTGTGTGCAGATTGTTGGCTCATTGTGTTCAGATTGTTGGCTCATTGTGTGCAGATTGTTGGCTCATTGTGTGCAGATTGTTGGCTCATTGTGTGCAGATTGTTGGCTCATTGTGTACATATTGTTGGCTCATTGTGTGCAGATTGTTGGCTCATTGTGAGCAGATTGTTGGCTCATTGTGTGCAGATTGTTGGCTCATTGTGTGCAGATTGTTGGCTCATTGTGTGCAGATTGTTGGCTCATTGTGTGAAGATTGTTGGCTCATTATGTGAAGATTGTTGGCTCATTGTGTGCAGATTGTTGGCTCATTGTGTGCAGATTGTTGGCTCATTGTGCCCAGATTGTCGGCTCATTGTGTGCAGATTGTTGGCTCATTGTGTGCAGATTGTTGGCTCATTGTGTGCAGATTGTTGGCTCATTGTGTGCAGATTGTTGGCTCATTGTGTACATATTGTTGGCTCATTGTGTGCAGATTGTTGGCTCATTGTGAGCAGATTGTTGGCTCATTGTGTGCAGATTGTTGGCTCATTGTGTGCAGATTGTTGGCTCATTGTGTGCAGATTGTTGGCTCATTGTGTGAAGATTGTTGGCTCATTATGTGAAGATTGTTGGCTCATTGTGTGCAGATTGTTGGCTCATTGTGTGCAGATTGTTGGCTCATTGTGCCCAGATTGTCGGCTCATTGTGTGCAGATTGTTGGCTCATTGTGTGCAGATTGTTGGCTCATTGTGTGCAGATTGTTGGCTCATTGTGTGCAGATTGTTGGCTCATTGTGTGCAGATTTTTGGCTCATTATGTGAAGATTGTTGGCTCATTGTGTGCAGATTGTTGGCTCATTGTGTGCAGATTGTTGGCTCATTGTGTGAAGATTGTTGACTCATTGTGTGCAGATTGTTGGCTCATTGTGTGAAGATTGTTGGCTCATTGTGTGAAGATTGTTGACTCATTGTGTGCAGATTGTTGGCTCATTGCCTTTCAGGCAGATGCACTCCGACTTCAAAGGAAGCTCCCAGTTAGTCGACTCTTATGACATGCTTGATAGGAAGGCAGTGGGTCTGTTCTTGTTTTCCCCACAATGGGGACCTGGAATCCACACGGGGAGCAACAAGAAATATTAATTATTACTTTATTTACAATGACGTGAATCTCATCACTTCAGGATGATAATGGTGTCGAGCGAACTTTTGGTGATACAGAAACTAGGAAGAAATATTCCCATGTTGATCTGGTGGTAATGATCGATGGAGCTGACAACGAGAGGGGCGCAGTGACTGCAGGAGGTCGCGGTTATTATCTAAAGGTAAGACTGCCAGCTTTCCTTGTGTTTAAATTTAGTTTCCAACAAGAAATATTTATCAGTGTTTGCATAAAATTTAGTTTCCAACAAGAAACATGTTTCAATGTTTACATTAAATTTAGTTTCCAACAAGAAACATGTTTCAATGTTTACATTAAATTTAGTTTCCAACAAGAAACATGTTTCAATGTTTACATTAAATTTAGTTTCCAACAAGAAACATGTTTCAATGTTTACATTAAATTTAGTTTCCAAAAAGAAACATGTTTCAATGTTTACATTAAATTTAGTTTCCAACAAGAAATATTTATCAGTGTTTACATTAAATTTAGTTTCCAACAAGAAACATGTTTCAATGTTTACATTAAATTTAGTTTCCAAAAAGAAACATGTTTCAATGTTTACATTAAATTTAGTTTCCAAAAAGAAACATGTTTCAATGTTTACATTAAATTTAGTTTCCAAAAAGAAACATGTTTCAATGTTTACATTAAATTTAGTTTCCAAAAAGAAACATGTTTCAATGTTTACATTAAATTTAGTTTCCAACAAGAAATATTTATCAGTGTTTACATTAAATTTAGTTTCCAACAAGAAACATTTATCAGTGTTTACAATAAATTTACAAGAGACTAAACGCTGTGAGGCTTTCAGTTTTGTGGAAAATGATTTTTCACTGAATTGACTGCATACCCTGGGTGCACCAGTTGGAGAGGCTAGATAAAAACCATGCGGGAGCCACCCGTCGTTACATCAGAAAGAACAGAATGGGAGTTGTTAGACTAAAAACACTTGGAGACATACTAAGGAGGAAATAGGAGTGCTTATGGTCATATCCGATGTGTGATAAAGATTATCTTAAAAATTAACAAAGAACATTAATTTTTTTTTTTATTACTCAGATATATTTAAGTAATGCATACAAACCATACGATCTACAATTTACTGCCTGGCACAGTTTGCTGTATCTCGTCAGGTGCAATACTACAGAGTAAGATCAACATATAGTGAAGCACAAAAATGAATGAATGAATGAAAGTTTTGTTGGGTGCCGCCTTTACTTCCGAGGACTTTACCTGGTACCTATTTTAGACTGGATCAACCTGGGAGTTATTGTCATTTAAAAAAAATAATTGACTAGATGCAGATTTGAATCTACAACCTTCAGGCAAGAGGCTTTTGTCTAGCCATTGCAACACCGTGGCTCCAACACATACACACACATATTCAGACACACACATATATTCATACACACATATATACACATACATATCTACACACACATGTATTTACACACACGTATGTATACACATACACATATTTACACATTCTAATGTATACACCTGAAGATGGCATCAAGCACCATATGCCGGTGTGTTGGGAAATGAGCAGGCAGATACACTGGCCGGTTCTGCACTGTTTGGTGGTGAATTGATGTATGACAAGTCAGATGTTGTGAGGACCTTTTGGGAGTAAAAGAACATTGCGGAGGCACAGATAGATCATCACGGTCTGATGAGAATGGCGCTGCAAGGAGTTACCAGGGGATCTGGCCGATGCTCAACACTCAAGGAAAGGGTGAGATGGATATACAATCAGACAGTTACTGGTGCCATCGAAATTGCAGCTCTTAGCTTGCTGCTGAAGATGGGGGACAGAGCACATGTGGGAGTGTCACGATGGCTATGATGTAAATTCTTAATTCAACATGTATACACACAACCCCTCTTCTGCCCCCACCCCGCGTGCGTGCTCCGGTTAAAATGGACGCTAGACAGCGGCGCTGTTCGGAGCGGAGGCAAATTTTTTGCTTCTGCCGGACGGTGGCCGAAGTATTTTTGCTCCATTTGTAGACTGGATATAGTTTCGTCGCCCAGCTTCTGAGTTGAATGCATGGCGTGACCCTGTGAGCTGCGGATTGCATTTGGAATGTTTTTTCGACTGTGACCAACGTGGTGTGAATTGTAGATTCAGAAAATGGCGCGATGCCGGTCGTGCAATGCTGGCGGGACCCGTATTAAAATTGATCGCGCCGGCAACTGCTGATCTGTTGGCGACAAGTTCTGCTATCATCAATGATGAACTACATTTCTAATGTTGGACTGTTTGTGTTAGCACTTCGGATGGCTACCATATGCGTTAATGCGAGTGTATGCTAGATATGCTGAGACAGCAGTCTGTCAATCTTTCCACAAGGGACTGTGATAAACATTCTGGGTGTTTTTCGCTGGCACAGGAGCAGAGCAAAGATGGGGCGACCCGTTTGCTATGAAGCTGAAACTAAGACTACCAGACTACCAGACCAGTGCGTGCTCATGTTTGATCTAATATACTGTGTGTTCACATTTATTAACAGGGTCCATTGGTGTTCATGGAGCAAGCTTTGATTAATCTTGCCATGAGCATGCTGCATGCTAAAGGTTACATACCTCTCTACACACCTTTCTTCATGCGCAAGGAGGTTATGCAGGAGGTGGCACAACTGTCCCAGTTTGACGAAGAGCTCTACAAGGTAGGAAGTAGCACTGTTTGTTGGGCATAACTGTCAGTTTGACGAAGAGGTTTACACAGTAGGAAGTAGTACTGTTTGTTGGGCATAACTGTCAATTTGATGAAGAGCAATAAAAGGTAGGAAGTAGCACTATTTGTTGGGCCCAACTATCACCGTTTGATGAAGAGCTTTACATGGTAGGAAGTAGCACTGTTTGTTTGGCATAACTGTCACAGTTTGATATAAAAGTTTACAAGGTAGGAAGTAGCAGTTTGTTGGGCACAACTCTCTCAATTTGATGAAGAGCTCTATAAGGTAGGAAGTAGCACTGTTTATTGGGCACAACTCGCCCAGTTTGACGAAGAGCTCTACATGGTAGGAAGTACCAGTTTGCTGGGCTCAACTGTTTGGGGTGGGGAGGGGGGCACAACTGTCTCCCTTAGATAAAGAGTTCTACATGATAGGAAGTAGCAAAATTTGTTGGTTGGTTGTTGTGAATCTTCTGGTAGACTTGAGTTTTAAATATAGTAAAACGTTGTAAATACAATTTACTTATGATGAATGTACAATTAACATGAAAAACATTTTGTTCCCAACAGGGATGTATTTATTATTCACAAAACATCTGTTTGTCACTGATTAGTTAGTGCCTGACTTAATATAAAGAAAGTTAGTTGTGAATCCTTTACAGGACATTGCAGAACCAACCACAAAATGTTTTGGCTGTTGTGGTTTTTCTTGGCAAATTGTACGCTTAGTAGTTTGCCATTGCTTCCTGAATGGTCAGCTCTCAGTTTTACTGCTGAAACCAACACAAAACAAATGGTCCGCAACTGGGATCTAACCCGGGACCCTGGTATTACAAAGCGCTTTCACAATGCCTAAGGGACAGACGCTGACATTTAGTTAATATAGGACAAAATGTTTTGATATTTAAAAACCCCATCCCAGCTATTGTCAGGGGCCCAAATATAACATCAAAGTTAAACGGGGTTTTTGAGACTAATGTTTAGGTGATTCTCATCCAAATGGTGGCAGTTTGTGTCACAAGTTGTTAATCACTCATTGTGAAGTCCTGGTGGGGTTGAACATCACTCATTGGCTCATTGTCATCTTAAGATTTCATTATGTATGTTTCTTATATGTTTTTAGCGTGTTGGCAAGGCATCTGAAGATTCCATTACATGTATTTCTTATATGTTTTAAGGTTGTTGGCAAGGCATATGAAGATTCCATTATGTGTATTTCTTATAAGTTTTAAGGTTTTTGGTAAGGCATCTGAAGATTCCATTACGTGTATTTCTTATATGTTTTTAGGTTGTTGGCAAGTTATCTGAAGATTCCATTACGTATGTTTCTTATATGTTTTTAGGTCGTTGGCAGGCTATCAGAACATTCCATTACAAATGTTTCTTATATGCTTCTATGTTGTTGGCAAGGCGTATGAAGACTTCATTACTTATGTTTCTTATATGCTTCTAGGTTGTTGGCAAGGCATCTGAGAAAAATGAGGACAGTGATCTAGATGAAAAGTATTTGATTGCAACTTCAGAACAGCCAATCGCTGCCTTCCATCGTGATGAGTGGATACCCAAAGAGTCTCTGCCAATCAGATACCTGGGCTACTCAAGCTGCTTCAGACAGGAAGCTGGGTCGCATGGGCGTGACACCAGAGGAATATTCAGAGTCCATCAGTTTGAAAAGGTTAAATCAGATTTGGTTCATTTCTTTCTTTTTATTTCTTCTCCTTTTTCACCATGCTATGTATAGGGAATACTTTAATTTAGCTAGAAGAAGTTTGAACAATGGATCAACATCATGGCACTCGGGTAGTAACCCATAAGTGCTCCGTTCTTCTTCTAACTCAAGTCTGAGTCCGAAGAAGCTCAGCACAGTGCACAGACTCTGTAGCACTGGCGAAGATTCTGAAATACTTTGGGTAGACTTTTAACTGCAAATTTTGCTCAGGCAGTGCCGTTAGGCTACTCTTTTTGATTTCCAACTGCCAAGGGATTTTTACTTGCGCAACAATGCACACAGGCGTCCGATCTCACTACCCAGAGACCGGGGGGAATTAGTAGAACTCCAATGGAAAAATCCCAGCCCTTACTAGGGATTGAACCTGAAACATCCAGCACTCGAGGCAGACAACATGCCTCGAGACCATGCAGCCCCCTAGTGAGAAAAAGAAAAAGGAACAGTCTCATCCTTTTCTTCTTCTTCTTAAAGTCCATGCCATGTTGCAATGGTAGTCATGGCTATTCACTACCTTCTGTCTCGTGTTCTTTCAGAAAGCTCTAAACTCGGATTATCCTCCATGCAGTCAGACTGCCCAGCATCCTTTTTCTTGGTCTTCTTCTGCCTCTCCTCCCCTTCAACTTGCCTACTGTCACAATGTACTCCAGTTTTTCCTTTCTCATCACATGACCAAAAGAAAGATTGTCTCTTTCTGATGTGGGCATTCAGTTCTCTTTGTGAGTCAGTTTTTTTTTCAAGATATCTTTATTATTCTTTTTATTTGTCCAGGGTTTTCTCATCATTTATCTATAAAACCACATCTCCGCAGCTTCCAGATAAGTTTTCATTAATTTACCAACCATCCATGATTTACTTCCTTATATCAAGATAGGATTTATATAGCTTTAAAGAATTCTCTTTCTCGTCTTAATTGACTAAGGAAGATTGCATAAAATATTCTGCCTTTTGTTTAATGCTGCCTTTGCCTGAGCTTTTCTATATTTAACATCTTTAATACATCTTCTATCGGATGTTATCATGGTACCCAAATACTTAAACATATCGGCTTGCTCAAGGTTTGTCCCGTTTACTTTGATTTTGCATGTAGAAATTATTTAACCCACTTCCTGGCTAGTTTGGTTTAATTTTTGTTTTGATGAAGAGGCTTGTGATAGCTTTGATCCATTCATATTTGAAGATAGACTTATCGAATGAATAAACGAACTATATTCTCAAAGGGTCACAAATTAGGCACGCAGGCCCATCTTACATTCTGCCCTTTAAAACACCCATCTGTTAAACAGAAGTTGTATTTTATACATAAAGTATGTTATGTTCACGTAATAATATGCATATTTTAAATATCAGGTCAAAAACAAAAGAACTCAGATATGCAGACAACACATTTTTCCTTTCCAACAGTGTGCAAGCTTAAAATAGTCCATTGTAACGGTCAAAAGGCACACACAGTAAAAAGAGAATCTGTTTGTCAGTCTGAAATCAAAACTAAAATAATGTCCACCATGAATGCAGCACACTAACCTTGTATTAAAATGACAACAAAGAGATTGAAAATGTCAAGAGAAGAAAGAGAATAGGTGCTTTTGAGCTGAAAGATTCTCAGAATATCTTGGACAAAGAAGAGGAGAAATACTGATATCTTTAAAGATCTGAACATCAAGGAAGATTGACTAATAAACAGCATCCTGTCTCAGAAGCTGAAATATTTTGGTCATATCAAGCACCATGATGGATTGGAAAAAATTATAGCAGAAGGCATGGTACCAGGAAGGAGGGGCAGGGGCCAACCGACACAAAAATGGCACAGTATATAAGTGACTTCTTGAGTATGAAAATGAAAGTGCATGAGGCGGGAGAACTGGCGAGAGACCAAGTTTCTTTCAGGCAGACCATGATGAGAGCGGCGTTCTGGAAAGGAACTGCTACATGATTATGAGGCTCAGTAATGAACAACAATGGCCACCGCAAAAAAGAAGTCAGAAAAAGACTCGCTTTAGCAATGCAGATGCAAACATGATAAACCTATGGCACCTATAAGCAAGTTCAAGTAAATGTTTTGAGGTCATGCGTGTTTCCCATGGCAACTTACGGATGTGAGTCATGGACTTTCTCAGTCTTTAAAGCAAGAAAATCTGCACTTTTGAACTGAAATACTACAGACACATTTTTAGAATACCGTGGACCAAGAAAAGGAAAAAAATCGATATTCTGCATAACCTGAACATCAAGGAGAGTTGAGTTGAGTCAAGAATTGACATCACAGCACTCGGGGCATTTCCATGCATGCTCCATTCCCATGCATGCTCCGTCTTCAGCAGCCATCGCAGATTTCCCTTACTGATGGTAACGGTCACAATCTGGTTATATGTACATTTTGCCTTTCCTCTGAGTGTAGTGAGTCGGCCAGACCATGTGGTTACTTACACCCAGGTGCCTCATTCTCTCCAGGCCAAAATAATCTTGTTTCTCTACTGATTCTGTTGCTTTTTCCAAAAGGGCCTTGACCACATCTGCCTTGTCTCTTATCAATTTACCACCCAGTGGTGCAGATCCAGCCAATTTGTCTGCCTGTTCATTACCCACTATGTCGCCATGGCCTGGAGAAAAGATCCAAAGTATGCTCACTACCTGTGACCTTCTGTGAAGGTCTTGCAAGGAATATCTCAACTCAAGGCATGAATTCTGTGGCATAAAAGAGGTTTCAGATGTGTCCATATAATCTACCATTACTGCCTGTATTTTTGCAGTGTAGGCAGGGGCACTTCATTGCTAGTGATAAAGTTATGGGGTTTTTCTATCAGGGGCAAAAGTAAAATTCTAACCTGCATTTTTTTTTAAACTTGCTTGCTTACTTTACTCTTTCTTAAAATTCTGATAAGATACTTTACTTTTTTCTGAAGGTTCTGATTAGCTACATAACTTTTCTAAAGGTTGTGCTGAATTACTTTACTTTTTCTAATGGTTATAAATTACCTTTTCTCAAGGTTGTAATGAATTACTTTAATTTTTTTTTAAAGTTATGATAAGTTACTTAATTTTTTTCTTAAAGTTTTCATAAGTTACTTTACTTTTTTCTTATGGTTATGACAAGTGATCTCGCATTACCTGCAGCTCTCAGAACTCAGCCTTTATTTTCTTCCATGTACATGATGTTCTCAGTATTTGTTTTTGTTTTTAATCACACTTCCATTCCTTTCAGTGTCTTTACCATTTAATTAATATTGTCTGTCATTCACATCAGTACAGAAGAATAGTCCACACACAACATTTCGGTAAGCAAATGGCACTTTGGAGAGAGAAGCAACAATGAAATTCATAATCTTTCTAAATCACCATTGATAACTGGCATCATGAGAGCTAATGGACTGATATGTTTGGGCTATATTGAGAGAATGTCAGATGACAGTGAAGTGAAATACAAGAGAGATGAATGGTCGTAGACCATGAGGAAGACCAAGCAGATGATGGAGAGATAACTTCCAGATAGACCTGCAAACACTTGGTGTCACCAGCTGGAAAGAGAAGGCCAACCAGAGAGATGAGTGGAGGCAGGTGATTTCTGCAGCAATGAACCTCAAGGGCTCAGAATGCTGAAGAAGAAGAAGATATGGTACTATATTTGTATACATGTTTTCCCCTTCAGGTTGAACAGTTCTGCATCACATCACCAGAAGCTGACAAGTCCTGGAAAATGTTTGATGAAATGATCAACAATGCTGAAGAGTTCAACAAAACTCTAGGGATACCTTACAGAATTGTCAACATTGTCTCAGGTAACACACGTTCTGTCACTCTCAGGTAATCAGATAACCTCAGTTTTAGCTTCACAGCAGATGGGTCACCCCATCGTTGCTCTGCTCCTGCGACAACAAGGAAGGTCAGGACAGGCATACTTCATGCAGAATGGCATACTTCACTGCGGAGGACACAAGTGAGCAGTATTATCTGGATCTTTTCACTGGGATACGCCAGTATGTTGGGAAATGAACAGGCGGAAGAGTGGCTGGCTCTGCACAACTTGTTGGAATATTGGTGCATGATAAGGCAGACGTAGTTAGTGCTTTGTGAGAGAGCGTGTACAGTTCAGAGGAGCTGATGGATCACCACAGTCTGGTGAGATTGATGCAGGGGGAGTGACGAGAGGTTCTGGCAGATGCTCAGTGCTCAAAGGAAAGTAAAGATGGACGTTTAATCAGAATGCTACTGTCACTATTAGTATATGAACTCTTCACTGGCTTCTGAAGATGGGGACAGAGCACTTATGGGAATGCCCTAAGTGCAGTGATGTCGGTTCTTGAATCAACTCAACTCAGCTAAACTCTGCGCCTAAAAATCAACTGAGAAAGTGTGACATTGTCCCTTGAAAAAAAGAAAATTGAAAGAGACTACGGTCTTAGCAAAACCAACAGCATGCACAGGCATTAAATGCATGAGGCAGCAGTAAGAAGTGCAAATACAGACTGTCACTCCCGGCTATGGCTCTTATAAGCAGTTAGTATGTAATGCTTTCGATCCAGTGCCATGAAATTTATATATTACCTAACATTACAACATGCTTGTTAGGGGGAAATGAGTGAGCTTCTACCCCCCCCCCCCCCCCCCCCCCCCCCCCCCCCCCCCCCCCCCCCCCCCCCCCCCCCCCCCCCCCCCCCCCCCCCCCCCCCCAGTATGATCCCAGAACCCACATGAGGCATATAGTGTGTAATGCTTCAGAGTGTGAGAAAGCATTTGTTACTTTCAGTAATGTACGAATGTAAAAAGGTTGGTTAGTTTGTTACCTAGTTAGTTAGTTGGGTTACCATCATTACACTCCGGACATGTCCATAGGTGCTCAGATCCTCCCGTCAATATGAACTCCAGTGTCTGATGGCTAATAGCACCAGTTTTGTGTTAATTAACCTCCTCTGATGTGCCTGGTGTGTGTCTTAATTTTTGCTATGCCGATTCACTGCGCTAAAAGTCTCCCACCCTTGCAAATTTCTCGGAGGGCATTAATAATATCAGAATGATCCAAAGGCTGACCGTCGGTAGCGCTTTCATTTCCATTGATGCCCGCATGTCCCGGAACGAAAACAAAGGTGACTTCTGTAATGATTCGAGCCATTGCCTTCACACAGAACCTGCCTGAATACTCCGGATAATACTCACTGAATCACTGGGCACACCTGTGTGGGTGTAGTTTTGTGTTTCAAGCCACGCGAGCGCTTGCATTACTGCCATCACCTCAATCATCATGCTGCAGGTTGTCATGGAGAAGGCGATGTTGGCTTCTTTCACCGTTCTGCCCGCTGAGCATGCTGTGAACACCCATGCACTTCTTTGTTCGCGCATAACAGATCCGTCTATGTATATCAGTACATCTGCCTCATCTGAAGTAGGTTGGTTTACATGATCAGTTAACTTAAAGTTTTGTTTAAACTATATTAACCAATTATTTCATTCTGCAGACCAGCCTACACTACATACAACTCTGAAAAGACACCTGGCCTCAAGCCCAAAGTGTGCAGAGCAAGCTATGGGAAACCATGAAGAATCTGCTACTGACATGCGAATTCACAAAGGCAACCCACCAGATGGCCTGATCTGAGTATACGAAACCAAACATAAAGAAGAAGAAGAAATTTCATGAATTTTTTTTTTCAAGTGTATGTTTATATATATATATGCATGCTGTTTATGATTTATTCCTAATTTTTCTTGCAGGTGAACTAAACCATGCAGCTTCCAAAAAACTAGATCTGGAGGCTTGGTTTCCAGGTTCAGGGGCTTTCCGGGAGTTGGTATCCTGTTCAAACTGCCTGGACTATCAATCGCGCAGACTTCGCATCAGATACGGCCAGACCAAAGCTGTGGGTCAAGAGGTTTGCTGCGTTCTCATTTTTTATTACTTATACAGGGTGCCCCACAAGTTTCCATACATAGGAACAATCAACATCATGGCACACAGGTGTAACCCATAAGTGCTCCTTTCTTCTTCTAACTCAAGCCTCAGTCTGAAGAATCTCAATGCAGTGCACAAACTCTGTAGCACCGGCGAGGTTCCTGAAATATTAAGGTAGATTTTTAGCTTCAAATTTAGCCCAGGCAAAGTCGTTAGGCTAGTCTGTTCGATTTCCAACTGCCAAGGGATTTTTTTACGAGTGCAACAATGCACACAGGCATCCGGTCTTACTACCCAGAGATTAGGTGGAAATTACTAGAAATACACGTGAAAAAATCTCAGCCTTCACCGGGGTTTGAACCTGGGACCTCTAGCACTCGAGACGGACACCATGCCTCGAGACCAGGTAACCCCCCTAAAAAATAAACATATTTTGTGTGTTAAACTGATGAAGAACACATATAGGCACAGTTGAAGCTATGCTTGTAATGGCGCTGGTAATATTTGTTACTTTGTCCTCTATATGGAAACGTATGGGATACCCTAAACATTATTAGAACCGTTCATCATTTTTTTCTCTGGATGTGTAGTTACTAAATGGCTTTTGTTTTTATTTTTATTTTTTTTAATTAAAAAAAAACATATTTTTAATTGAACTGTGCATGTAGGATTTTTCTTTCTTTGTCTTTCTTCCATTGAAGAGCGGTTGGCATGCTGTATTGTGGTTTACAGCCAGATTGTAACATCTGCGCCTTTCAACCCAACACTGCTGATTTCAGCAAAACCTTAATTAGTCTCCTTTCACAGCATGCTTGTAAAGGGGCAGTGGATCTTTAAGTCATCATAGTGCCAGTGCCAGATTTTTTGTTTCAAACATGACCTTGACTCCTAGTTTGACCCAGCCTTATATGAGTACCAGGTAAAGTCCTGGGAAGTAAAGTTGGCTGGCATAATATTGACCACATTGATCTGTTGAATGCTGATTGGTTCTGTAAAATGTAGGTGAAGTACTATATGTCCAGTGCGCCTGAAGGTGTGGAAAAGCATCCTTTACTTTACCCCTGAGCCAGATTTCTGTAGTCTGAGAAAATCCCAGTGTTGTCAGAATTCCTTCTCTTGTATTCCTAATGCTGTCACTCAGTGGCAACTTCACTGACAGATACTAAAGTAGGACAGGCAAAGTGACAGAATTTCAAACATACTAGGTTTTTGCATTGAACAATGGATGTTGTTGTTTGGATGTTGTTGTTCGTCCATCACGAGTGATGAAGACCACTTTCATCCAAAGCAGTAACGATCAGTGATTAGTACGAAGGTGGCTGATTAGCCCAAAATGAGCCTGGAAAGTTCTTGAGCAGTGCGAACAACAGATGGAAGCCGCAGTCAGTGTGGGATTAGCAGTACAATTCTTTCTAGTCTGCCTCCATTTCTCTGCCTGTGCAACCTCTGCTGCCTGGCAGGCCGGTACACCATGCCTGAGGGACGTACGCCATCCAGAACGGTCTTGCTCAGCATCCTCCCACATTACTGTGTGTCGAACAGCGAATAGCAGACAGCATCCTTTAGATATTTTTTCCAAGTTATGCTGGTATGTTGGAAAATGAACAGACAGAGAGACTGGCTGGTTCTGCAACTCTTGGGGATGAATAGATATACGACAGGCTAGATGTAATAAGGGTTCTTTTGGAGTGGGTGAACAGTGAAGACACAAACAGATCATCAGGGTCTGGAAAGAAGGATACTGCCAGGAATTAACCAGGAAATCTGGCTGATGCTTGGCACTCAAGGGAAAGGCAAGACGGATACACAATCTGACTGTTACTTCTTCTCTTCCACCTTGTTCCTCGGCGAAGTGTCGGGGGGGGGGGGGGGGGGGGGGGGTGTAACATTCGTTGATGAGCTCTATTAAAACTGATGTTCATTTCTGTAAGGCTGTTCTTAATGCCATCACTCCATATTTTCCGAGGTCTTCCACTTGCTCTATACCCATTGTAACTTTTTAATGTGGCTCGTTGCCCTAGATAGTACCAGGGCATTCTTGTTAGGTGTTACCATCAAAACTGAAAATCTGTGTTTGCTGCTAAATTTGGAAATGGAGCTATTATGGGAATGTCCTGAGTGCTTTTATGTTGATTCTTAGTTATTTTACATTTCACATTGTACAGTGGATTCACCAGCTCCGTTATTCACCACCTTTCCTTTATACTTTCTGCTATCAATTTTATGAACATGACTCAACCCCATGTTGATATAAGAATCGTCATCACCGCACTTGGGACACTCCCATAAGCACTCCATCCCCATCTTCAGCAGCAAGCGAAGAGTTCCAATTCTAAAGAGGCATCAGTAACTGTCTGATTCTATATCTTTCTCATCTTTCTTTAAAGTGTTGAGCGTCAGCCAGATCACTTTGTAACTCCTTGCAGCGCCATTCTCCTCAGACCATAATGATCTGTCTGTGCCTTCTCACTGTTCACTCGCTCCCAAAGGGCCCTCACAACATCTAGCTAGTCATACATCAATTCACCAACCAGTCTATCTGCCTGCTCATTTTCTAACACACCAGCATGACCTGGAGAAAAAATCCAAAGGACGCTAACTACCCAGTACCTCTGAAGTGATGCTTACCTCTCTGAACAACCCCAATGCCATACTGATAGGGAAAAACCCTCCCACCATTGAACCTCACCCTGTTGTGTTGGGACATCCCTGCCATGTGCCAATTTGCTATCATTACAGACTAGTTTTGTCCATATGCTGAATGCCACTATGTGTGCTACAACAAGAACTCTGTGTGCGATCTTGGAAAACTACCAGACAGAAGATGGCATCGTTGTTCCAGAGGCGCTCCGGAAGTTTATGCCAGCTGGTATGTTTTTTAATTCTCTGTATTATTGTCTGGCTTCTTTTATAGTACAGTATTCCCCGTGTGGGTTCGGGGGCCCCCATGGTCTGGACACCAAGAAAAGACCCACTGCCTCCCCAACAAGCATGTCGTAGGAGTCAACCAATTAGGCACTTCCTTTGAAGTCAGAGTGCAACTGTCTGAGTGACGAGGAACAACCAACAGCACAAAAATAAGCCAGTAAAAGGGATGTACACGCAAAACTCAATCTCTGGCTGTCGTGCAATCTAAGTATCTCTGTGTACCTCCTGCTTTGTCTTCATTGAGGTTGGAACAGGCCAGATTACTTCTCTGTCAGCAGCGTACAGTAGGCAGTGTTGGAAGAAAGGCTCAGCATTGTCTGATGCCAAGCTGCAGGGACACATCTTCATGTTTTCTACACCCACAAGTTTGAAGAAATGTTGGAAAGGTCTGTTGTGCCCTGCCCTTAGTCTGAATGTCACACATTGTCCCTCTCTAGATAGGCGATGAAGCCAGTCTTGGGGAGAGAATTTAGTGTCAGTGCCCAGCCACCTTTCTTGGATGCTGGTGTCTTTCCCGTGTGAGTTCCGGGGCCTTATTATAGTGAAAACAAGAATAGATCCACTGCCTACCCAAAAGCATGTTCGTAAGAGTCGACTGATTGGGAGCTTCCTTTGAAGTCAGAGTGCATCTGCCTGAGAGGCAAGGAACCAACAGTCTGCAGACAAATTAGTCTGATCTGTCAAACGGATGCACACACAACACTCAGGCTCTGGAACATGACTGCAGTCCAGAAGTGGATGAACCAGAACTTTCTGCCAGAGTTTACAGCTGCTGAACGCGAAGAAGAAGAAGGTTGATGCTAGTTTCTATACATTTTTTCTAATACTTAAAGATATCCAAATGTGAATTGTATCTCTTTTACTTGTATCTTATATTTTTATTTCAGGTTATAATGAGAAGATTCTGTTTGTGAAGCCAGCTCCTATTGATGAACAGGAGGCAAAGAAACAGAAGAAGTCTGAGAAAAGGGGAAATGTTCCACCTGCTGAACCAAGGGAGCAGTAGACAACAGAAGACAGTTCTTTTGTTGTATTTTTTTCATCTTTCAACTCTTTTCTAATCATGATAAGATTGTTATGTTTAGGGACACAAGGGGTAAGTTTGGCAATGTTAGGGACACAAGGGGTAAGTTTGGCAGTGTTATGGACACAAGGGGTAAGTTTGGCAGTTTTAGGGACACAAGGGGTAAGTTTGGCAGTTTTATGGACACAAGGGGTAAGTTTGGCAGTTTTAGGGACACAAAGGGTAAGTTTGGCTATTGAAAGCAGTGGCAAACTACTGAACATAAAAATTGCTTAGTAAAATCACAGATGGCCAAAGAAAAATACTGCGGCTTGATCTGCAGTGTCCTTTAAAGGATATGCAACTAATGACGTTTTGTTGTTGTTTTAATCTGTGATTAGTGATTAGAAAGGATTATTATCACATTACTCCGGACAAATCCATAGGTGCTCCGATCTCCTACTCAAAAGCTCCACAAGTGTAAAATTACTGATGACGCCTGTTCTGTGTTGGTTAATGAAATGTCTTGTCTTTTAATGTGTACATGACTATTACATATCTGTGGAGCAAGTGAAGAGGATCTCAGCTCAAAAGCATGTACTCCATCCCGTAAGCGAGAATCCTAGACCTACATTTTCACATGCGGTTGGCCGATGGCTGCAGAGGTCGTCAATGTTGGTGCTAAGGCCGCCATGACGTCGATCGGCAGAACATACATTAAAACCACAACGCATAATCACCACATAGGCCTCAAACAAATATCTTGCAGTGTAACAGATTTCTGCACTTTTAGTCGATATTTTATTATGGTTAAAGTGAAATACGCCAGATAAAAATTGAAGTCATGGCTTATGAGCACAAACACAATAACCTGCCGCCATACTGGAAAATGGAAGACTGTTTTAATCTGTGATTAGTGCTATCGGACCGACATACATGTAAAAGTAGGTAGGTAGGTAAGTTTTAGCCCACCAGGACATCACACAAGTGATAAACACCCTGTGACACAAAGTGCCACCATGTGGATGAGGATCACCCATGGAGAGGTCCCAGAAATCCTGTTCAGCCGTTAGGCCATAATTAAAGCCCAGCTATATTTAGGGCCCCCGCCAAATGCCAGGGTGGGGCTTCAAAATGACGAAAAATTGCATCCCACATGGGGACGAATAAATGTATGGAACAGTTTTTAAAGTTTCATCACATTCCTTTAGTTTATGAAATATTTTCACAGTAATTTGTATAGAAAAATTTAAGTTTTTTTTGTTTTTTAAATATTAAAAAAAAAAAAACTTTCCAAAACTGCCTCATTTATTGAAGTATTATATCATCTGAAGTAGTTTTGTCATTGTATTTATGTTTTGATGTTAATATTTACAACCCTGTTGTTTTGGATGCGTAATTTGCTTGTTACTTCTGCTTACTGCTAGATTTATTGTGAAGCTTTTTATCTGTATGTTTTATTTCACAGCAAGGTCACTTTTGTTGCTGCTGCCATAATTTTTTTAGCCTATTTAACAATGTTTTTTTCATCTAACTTTTCAACATGATTTTTTTTCTAATGATATAAGAACATTGCTCAAGGATAAATTAATCTCATAAATAAAAAAAAGATAAAGTCGGGAGATGTGAACCAGCATCACTGCACACGGTTCTAAACCATAAGTGCTCTGCAACCAGTACAGACAGCTGATAAGAAACGGTTTGCCTGTGTCGCCATCCGCACGTAACTCTGTAGCTACAGTGACGTTCTTACTCCATTTACCCCAGACTCTGGTACCCATTTCCTAGAGGCTGGGTGAACCCCAGGAGCCACCTGGTTTCGAACACCGACTGTGGCTGCAGTGAGTCGCAGCTTGATTTGAAAGCGAGCCTTGTATCGACTGCTAACGCGGCTGTCATAAATCACTGGAATGGTTAATGTGTGGTCCTCTGAGAGATTTATTTATCTGTACACCTCTTTATTTGATTATTTATGATTATCAATCTTTAAGAGATTTATGTTTGATCACATATTTCTAAATAGTTTATTCATCTTCACATGTCCACATGTCATTAATGTATGATTGTTTGAGAAAGTAATTTATATTCACACATCTCTGAGTGAATAATTTGTTATTGTTCGCTTTAAGAGATATATGTCTGATTACACATCACCTCGTGGAGACGCATGAGTGCCTACGTCAGTTGGCAGGGCACATCTTCTTCTTCTTCTTTCGTTCGCCTGAAATAAGTTGTCTATATCAGCAGCTTTGTCTCTTGTATAAATTTCACTGTCGTTGTTAGTTCATTCAGTGGTCCATAGAGTTTACGTTCCACTGTTGTTCTTTCTGGCCAAAAGGTTTGCCTTAATGTGTCAAATTCGGTGCAGTTCTGGAGTACATGCTCTGCTGTCTGGGGCACATTTCCACAGGTGCACATGGCTGATACACCTATCTTGAATTTTGTGTACATGTGGTTACGTAATCGGTTGTGACTTGTTCTGGTCTGTCCATAATAAAATAGTCGTCTTGTCCTGGGGCTGGTGGTTTCCTGATCGATTTAATGATTCTTTTCTTTTAGTGGTATGTGACTGGTACATCCGGCTGCTCTTTTGTCGCACCTTCCCCTGCCAGTTGATCAGCTTTATCATTTCCAGGCACTCCACAATGTGATGGTATCCACTGCATTACAACTCTTCGATGAAGGCTGAGTTGTGTCAGCATTGTTTGCAATTCTGGTAGTTTCCTAGACTGGAGTGCTTTAAGTACTGATTTAGCATCTGTCGACAGGGCACGTGATGATGATGGTCACTGCCAGAGGTACCATTCTCTCCAGACCATAATGATTTTTTCCTGCCACTCCATTGTTCACTTGTGATTACTGAAGCGTGGCAGGGTGATATCGGCCACAGGCATGAGAGAAAGTTTAGGCCGTTATGATGTATCAGCCGAGAATCAAAATATTGCAGTTTGCTATAAAAAGGCACAACACATTTACGTCACTCGGACAAACGAAAAGAAAAAGAAGAAGAAGAATACTGAAGCTCACCTGCCTTGAAAAGATTGTTATTTAACCAGTGTCCTGTAGTCATCTTCTTATGATAAAAAGAATAGTGAAGATGTCTTGAAAGACACTAACTCACAAAGGAGACAGTCCACATTTGTTGGTCATGTCATGAGAAGGAGAAAACTGAAGTACATTGTGATGGTGGGAAGGCTGGTGGGGAAGGGAGGCAGAGATTTGGAGGCCACACATCTATATTTGCCTAGAATACAAGAAATTGGAGTAAAGATCGGCACAGCTAGACAGGAGAGGAACACCGGACATATGAAAAATTTTGTGAACCAGCATAGGGCTGGCACTGTTAACTTTGGGGCGCTGATGTGAATGTTCAGAGTGGAATCTGAGCACCTGTGGATGTGTCCAGAGTGCCAAGAAGATCTCAGTTCCATGACGATAACCCATCTCATGACTCTAGCAAGTACTCGATTGTCCCTGAGATCCGGAATCCTCAGATTGTAGCCTGTGTTTCTTGACTGACGACAGACTCTCACACATTCTGTTAAATGAAGAAAGACAAGGTCATGTGTACTTGCATTATTTCTGAAGTTCCTTTAGGACCGGTGTCTCGAACTCCAACAACTTTATTATATGTTTATTACTGTTGTTAGTACCTCGTTCATTTATTCATTATCCTGTCGTGCCATTATTGGTGTCTTCTTTATATTTGTCTTTTCATAACTAATTTATAGTCCAACCTTTGATATTATATTTGGTAAATCATCTGTTTTTCCTTTGCATGTCATTGCTGTTTTTAATTAGCAGAACATCATCATCAGCAAAATCAAGATCTTCCAACTTTCTGTTCTCCAACCCAGTCAGTGCCGGTGTTTTCACAACAAAATTTTTTCATCACCTAGTCAAGGTTGGGCCAGATAACAGAGGAGATAAAATGCATCCCTGTTTTACTTCAGTGTCAACTTCAAACCAATCAGTTCAACCACAGGGAAAATATAAATATGTTATTTGATACAGAGTGCCATCTTTGTGATATGTTTACCACTGCTAGTACTACAGGACCACTATAAATGTGATGTTTGTAAGTACTACAGGACCACTATAAATGTGATGTTTGTAAGTACTACAGGACCACTATAAATGTGATGTTTGTAAGTACTACAGGACCACTATAAATGTGATGTTTGTAAGTACTACAGGACCACTATAAATGTGATGTTTGTAAGTACTACAGGACCACTATAAATGTGATGTTTGTAAGTACTACAGGACCACTATAAATGTGATGTTTGTAAGTACTACAGGACCACTATAAATGTGATGTTTGTAAGTACTACAGGACCACTATAAATGGTCAGGGTCTGTGGCTAAGGCATTGCGCACGAGCTTCGTAATGCCAGGGTGCCTGGTTCGATCCCAGCTGCGGGCCTTGCATTGGTTTTGACAGTGGTATTGAGAAGCCGACCGTCCAGAAATGACTTGCAAACTACTGGACGTAAAAATGCCTAGAAAAACCACAACAGCCAATATTGGGGTTGGTTCTGCAACGTCCTGTAAAGGATACGCAACTAACTTAACTGGACCACCATAAATGATATTTGTAAGTACTACAGGACCACTATAAATGTGATATTTGTAAGGACTACAGGACCACTATAAATGTGATATTTGTAAGGACTACATGACCACTATAAATGTGGCATTTATATTTATAAACCTGTTTCCATTGTTATATAGCTATTTATGAACCTGTTCCCACCACTTAATGATGTTCCAGTTATATTATTTGGGAAGTCCTGCCTTACAAATATTTGTTCTGCATAAGAACAGGCTTTGCCTCTAGTTTTGCTGACAGCAGTTTTATTTTAGTGTCACTTCACAAATTTCTTTCTGCTAACATAAAAGAATCATGCACTACTTAAATGTACCAGGCTTGTTGAACTGTTTACATGTTTGTTGCATTGTGCCCCTGCGTTGGTCCATAATTTCTCGATCTACACAGACGA